AAAACGAACTTACCTCGTTTTGCAGGACACAGTCGCCAGTTTTCACGGGCGCTGTCCAACTCACTGGGCTCGAAACGCCCATTACCACTTCCTAGAGCGCCATGTGACGCTTCCCATGTAGATAGTTTTTTTTTTCCTTTTCCTGTTGGCTTATGCTAATGGTCAGTTCACAAGTCCCATGTGGCTTTTCGGCCATGCCCTTCCAAATCGCGGGCCCGAGTTCGAAACCCGCCTGGTGCAAGAAGAAAAAAAAAAATTTGGATCATTTCTCGATCTATGCGTGTCATCTTTGCGCAGGGGTCATGCTCACGGGCACGGCCGATCTCGGCCGAGCGATCTTCCAGATCGGGCGGTCGAAATCGACCGCGCCCCTTCAAAAAGGGCAGCTCCAAAAGGAGCTAGCCCGACGGTGAGTGCAGTTCGATCCCGGTATCCGCTGGGTGAGACTCCTGCACTATAAACCTACTAGGCTAGCTCCTATCACAAGAGCTATGCCTGCAACCCTTTTATATGACGGGTTGCGGCCCAGTAGGCCGTCACTTTCAGGTATAGGCAGGCTTAACCCTGCCCCACCCCTTCAAAGTCGGCACCCCGCCATCTCACCGGCTGGGGTTTAGCCCGGCAGGCCCGATAAGCCACCTTCAACCGAGAGTCCGGCGTCGAGCCATGGCGCGGAGTCAAATCCCGTGGCCCAAGAAGAAAATGGGCTTCCTATTCCCATTGCGCCACGGCCCCATACCTGGGGCATCCATCTTTTTAGCCTACTCAAGCCCTGAGCAGCCGCGCGATTCAGGGCCTGAGTAGGCTAAAAAGATGGATGCGCCAGGTATGGGGCCGTGGCGCAATGGGAATAGGTCTAGCTCTAGCGATCCCGCGTCCGCGTGCCTTAGTCGCCACGACAGAAACGAAGTACTACCGAGTACAGTCATTACTCTCGGACGTCGCCGACGTTCGAACTAGGTTTAAAATTTTTAGTTTCTCGGACATAGGTCAGGTCTGGATAAACTTTTGACAAACGTCAGTCCGATCAAGTCCTTCAATTCAACGAAAGAGTCGGACAGCGTCCGACGTTGAAAACCCTCGGCAAATACCCTTGTCAGGGTATTTGCCCCGACAACGTATGGTGACCTCCTTAGCATCATCCGGCCTCACTCCATATGCTGAGATTTCATGACCCAAGTACAAGATCTTGGTGCGACCAAACTCGCATTTCTCCAAGTTAACCTTGTACTGGTGCTGTCTTAGGGGACCTAGCACTATTTTTAAGTGCTCAGCGTGCTCCTCTACAGTCCTATTAAAGATAAGAATATCGTTGAGGTACACGATGATAAACTTGTCTAAGTAATCATGAAAAATCTTGTTCATCGCGTGTTGGAACGTACCAGCTGCATTGCATAAGCCAAAGGGCATCACCATAAACTCGTACAGACCGTACCTGGTCTGAAATGCGGTTTTGTGCTGGTCCTCAGGTCTAATGGCAATTGGATGGTATACGGACTTCAAATCTATCTTGGTGAAGTACCGGCATCCCTGCACTCTATCCAAGAGGTCGTCGATGCGGGGTAGGGGCTCCGCGTTCTTAACGGTGATGGCATTGAGGCCCCTATAGTCAATGCACATCCTCAAGGTACATCCCTTCTTCGGTACGAATAGGTCTGGAGCGTCGTAAGGGGAGGTACTAGGCCGAATCCATCCCTTCTCTGTGAGCTCCTTGAGCTGGCGGCGGAGCTCATCTAACTCTGCAGGAGACATCCTATAGATTCGTCCTCTAGACACCTTACTACCTGGGACAACCTTTATGGCATGGACAACCTCCCTTTCTACCACGCCTGTGGGCTCCTCAGAAAGGTCTAAATATTGCTCGACGACTGATTCTATCTCTGGGTTGTTTTTACGGCCTCCCCTTTCTCAGAGACAAATACTAGATACATGCCCTCCTCGCGATTCTGTTTATAATAGTTATAAAAAGATGATGCACACATGCACCCGTAGTTTTCTATTAGATTGCTAGCTTTAAACTTCTGGAATCTAACAGATCTACCGTTGGGCAATTTGTGAATTAACACCTTTCTATCCCTGTCAAATTGAGGTTGCACGACCTCGAGGTAGTACATGCCTAAGAGCATATCAAGCGGAAGTTCGTCGCTAACAACGAAGGAGATTTTATGGCTCACTTCCCCTCCTCCATAGGAGAAGATGTAGACTACGTTCTTGACATAGTCTTTTACCAACATTTGGTGCTTGTTGGCCAGCGTAGAAGCTACAGTTCTGCTAAGCCGCCGCACTTGGTCCCCTAAGCGCAGTCTATCCACACAAGCACGACTGATGAAGTTTCGTGCAGAGCCTATGTCTGTGAAGGCGCCAACTTTGCGGCCACCTACATCAACCTCTACCACGAAATGTTCACCCTTTGGACCTCTACTGATCATCGCCCAAGAGTTCGTGGAGCCCTTCCCTGACCACTCAGTCTTTAACTCTTCTAGGCCCTCAGACACATCTCTCGAACAGAGCGTCGGTGGGTCTGAATGTGTCTGCGGGGCGATACGTGGGTCACTAGCCTTGGCCAATGCCTGAAGTGGGGAAGGCAACGTTACCACTTCAGCGCGAGTAAGAGCGGCTAAAACTCCTACTGGGCCGAGGTGTTTCCCTGCGAAGTGCTCGCAAAAGCACCGCCAGAGTTCGAAGAAAGTCCCACCACCGTTGGTGAGGTTATCCTCGTGGTGACCTTCTTGCCTTGACACGTTCGGGACGTGTGGCCATAATTGCCACAGTTCATGTAGGTGCCCCTAGCGACTCGGTCCCTCCGCACCTCATACTCTAAACCAAGCTTTACCCATGCGGGTGTTCCTTGGTCGCCCTGACCCGTAGACCGTACTACCTTCTTTTTATCGGTCCCCCTAGCCTTTTCCTTGATAGGTGCCACGACTCCCCCATCGAAGTCTCACTGGCCCCATCATGCTCTGTCTCCTCCCCAACGTCTGGGAAGTCGTCAATTTCTGTCGTTTGACTATTGTGGTCGACGAACATTAGTTGACCTTTCTTCTTCTAGTCCAGGGGTAGTCTCTTCTTCCTACCATCGCCCTGACTCTGATGCACAGATCCCAATTTTGCCTCTATATCTAAGGTCTTCTTGCTGAAAGAGGCGATGTTGTGCTGCTCGACATAGGCCTCGTCTACCAGCTTTGTCCTGACCTCTGAAGGTAGACATCTAAGGTAATCCGTGAGGAGTACCTGCTGGTCATAACGCACACCAGGTACCACGAGCAGACGTTCTACSRTGTCCGTTAGCTCTYGAACATTCTTGTACCTTCTRGCACAGAGACTGTTGATTGCATCGGTAGCCTTTTGAGCCCCTTGAGAGTCATGCCACCTGTTGTACACGGACCGTACGAACTCTTCCAATGTCTGGGCCTGGGCCCAGGCATCGAAGTTCTGACCGTAGCCCTGCTGCTGCACTAGGCCATTCAACCAACGGCCTGCTGACCCCTCTAAAAAGGAGGCAGCCACGACAACTTCTTGCTCTGGCCTGGTAAGCTTGTGCCTTACATAGGTAGGCACCGTCCTTACCCAGGTATACAAATCCTAGCCCTTCTTCCTGTCGCCGGAGGGCATCCACTGCATAGGCTGCATTGGCCCAGGTGCTTGCTGCAGTGGCTGCATAGCCACTGAAACAGGTTGCTGCGCACTAACCTGGGCCTGACTTGACAATGGGACTGTAGTAACCACTGTCGTCGATGGTATGGCTGAGACTCTATGAACCGTATCACTAGTTGCTACAAAACCACCTAGAGGGGGCATGCCAAACATAGGTGAGAATGGAGGCTCTACCAGCGAACTAGTCTGTCTGCAGTTGTCTGTCAGTTGTTAGATAAGTCTGTAACAACTAAATAATCAAAAATAAAAATAAACATCTCCTGTTGGAGATGTATGCTGAATGGCAGATTGTCTATTGATTGTCACTGTGAACTGTTACCGGATTCACCCCTCCCCCTGTGTCCTTCTTGAGTGGTCGCTTTGTGTCAACGTCTTGGCCATCTGGTTGAGCAGCGTGTCTGAAGGTGTGCAATTCGGCCCACCCCTGTGCCCCAAGTCTTTGCCGAACTTGCCAGCCCCTGCACATTGTTTACCCTCGTATGCAACGAGCCTTACACCCGATTTGATCTGGTTGATCAGGAGGCATTTAAGAAGATCCCCCGTAACTCCTCATGAATTATTTAACGTCGCAGACAGGACGATGATGATAGCCAGAGTCAACACCGAGTCCCCGCCAGAAATATTTAGAGACGGTTTGGTAAGCGTCTGTTCAAAGGGCTTGCATGCCCTGCATGACCTCTATTGCGCAAGCAGTAGAACCAAGGACTTGCGGCAAAGCATGCGTGTACTAGTCCCAGCGGGTTGGCATGGTGACCGTGACCCGAGTGCTTGGTCCAGGGCCCTTCAGAGGCATCGCCCGTCTCCCACCAGCTTGCTGCCCAGGAAGAATGTCGACTCTCAAGGTTGAGCGCTCGCGACACCTCACATCGAGAGGACTCTCAAGACAAGACTCACTTCCTCACCGTAAGAAGTAACGAAGAGGGTAGATAAGGAAGAGAGCAACGTACCTCATAATGCTGCCCCCAACCACAGATTTCTCACCGGCAACCGGACGTGCATTTATGATGACCGGTCTTTGCCTCGGCACAACCAACAATAGAATGCAGTTCCACCTCGGCTTAATATGCCACATCAGCGAGCTCTCATCATCCAGCATACACCCCGTATGTCACCACATAGCTCCATGACGCGCCCACACGACCGAAGGCCGTCGTACGTTCAACGCCCAAGCCTTATCACTGCCCCACACCTCATGCGAAGCACCGAACAACTATTGCGAAGAACCAATGAAGCGCAATATAAACCAGCTCTGATACCAAATTGCAAGGAAAATGAGCAACAGCGAGATGACAAATCCAGATTACACAATCACATTGAAAGCCAAATAGTTACACCGTGTCCAAAGAACAACATTGCACCAATAATACACCAATGTAGGTTCATAGTACTGAAAACCAATGTCACAGAGAACTTTCTCTCTCCACACCAACACAAGAGTCCAGTCCCTTCACTCTCCTACTAGGCACTCAGCGCCCAGCCTACTCCTATACAACTATTATCAGCCTACTAATTGACCATGCAACTGTTGACATCAGCGGCAACCCGAAGTACTTGAAGTGGTGTAATCCGTATGAGGATGACATCTCGACATGAAGCCCTACTTCAGATTCGAGTCTCACCACATTCCCTCCGATTCCAGTGTTTTCAATCCCATTAGTCCTTTACATGTAGAGTAGAACTGCCCCTCCTCAAATAACCGAGGTTGGCTGGACCCCGGCCATAGAGGTACGGTGATCATGCTTGACACGAGGTTAG